TGATAACCTCAACACAAGCGGTTTTTCGGTCTAATTAATATAATTAATTCCCCTTAGATTATTAACCATGAGACGCATGCATTAACAATCCAAGTTTACTACCGTTGAAGGAACCGAATTAATAACAAGCGTATTAATCGATTGATTCTAGTAATAATTAATATATGAAACAAAACTAGTTGATCCTTTAAGTAATGCTCAAAATATTAATATGAAATATGAATAGGAATTAATTAATACTCAAGGAAGAATATTAAAGAGTATGAATCCTACTATAGTTAATATCAAGATGTTAACTAATTGTCATCTTAGTAACACTCCCCAACATTAACATAGAGGAAGAAATAACTATTACTATAACTAATGTCAAGATGTTAACTAATTGTCATCTTAGTAACACTTCCCAACATTGATATAGAAATAGTATTTAAAGGAAGAATTATTATTCAAGGAAGAAAATTAAAGAGAATAACTCACAACTTACAAATTCATTAAGCTTCAAAGTAGCAAAACCAAGATGGAAGAGTTTAGTTCCTCATTTGGAGACTAAACATGAAGAAAATATAAAGAAAGAACTTATCTAGACTGAGCTTAGAAGTATGAAGGAATTGGTTATCTTATTGTGAAGGAAAGGGGTGTATTTATAGGTTTTTGGGAGCTGCAGGGTCTGATACCCGACCGGGTATATAGGATACCCGACCGGGTATCTTAGGAAATTTCCCAGAAATTCACTTTTCTGGGCATACCCGATCGGGTAGGTCGGCATACCCGATCGGGTATGTGACGAATATTTACGAAAATTTGCTCCCACGATCATTTGTTCCCGGATTTGATTTGGACAATCGAATCAAGCAAATTCCCGATCGGGTATAGGCAATACTCGACCGGGTACATGAGTATTTTTTCCAAATCGAAATCTTTCTTGCCTCCTTGCACTTTCCTTGATCTTTTAAGGTCCAATCTTGATCCCTTGGATGATCTTTGACCTGTTTAGCTCAGAAAAGTCCTAATCTAAACAAATTACAAATAAATATGAAAATAAAGTATTACACCAAAAGTGTGTAATTTCCTCAACTAGAACTAATAAAAACTAGTTAAAAATACAAACATACAATCTCAAATTACATGAATATCAATGTCGTTGCCACAAATGTTATGAATGAAAACAATGATAATGAGAATGAAGCTATTCGGGCTGAATTAAAATCACTTGAAAAACGTGATGTTTTTGGACCGATAGTCCCTACGCCAAAAAGCATAAAACCAGTGGGCTTTAAATGGGTATTTGTGCGTAAATGCAATGAGAAGAATGAAATCGTAAGATATAAATCCCGACTTGTTGCCCAAGGTTTTTCCCAAATGCCGGGAATAGATTATGAAGAAACTTATTGTCCAGTAGTTGATGCAACTACATTAAAGTTTCTCATTGGTATGTCTGTTTTTGAAAGCCTACAAATGCGCCTAATGGATGTAGTGACCGCATATTTATACGGTTCACTCGATACAGACATTTATATGAAAGTTCCCGGTGGATTTAAAATGTCTGAAGCTTATAGCTCGAAACCTCGAAAAATGTTTTCCATTAAAATACAAAAGTCATTGTACGGACTAAAACAATCTGGACGAATGTGGTATAATCGTCTCAGTGAATACCTTCTTAAAGAAGGATATAAGAATGATCCAATTAGTCCATGTGTTTTCATTCGGCGATTAAATTCGGGATTTGCCATAATTGCAGTATATGTTGATGACTTAAACATTATTGGAACTCCCGATAAAATTGAAAATACTGCAAAATATCTTATGAAAGAATTTGAAATGAAAGATCTCGGGAGAACCAAATTTTGTCTCGGACTTCAAATTGAGCATTTGAAGAATGGAATTTTCATCCACCAGTCTAATTACACCGAGAAAGTGTTGAAGAGATTCTATATGGACAAAGCTCATCCTTTGACTTCACCAATGGTCATTCGATCTCTCAACATACATGACGATCCATTCCGTCCCCGAGAAGTCAATGAAGAAATACTCGGTCCCAAAGTACCATATCTGAGTGCTATTGGAGCGTTGATGTATTTAGCTAATAATACTAGACCAGATATTGCATTTTCTGTAAATTTATTAACTAGGTACAACTCATGTCCAACAAGGCGTCACTGGAAAGGGATCAAACACATATTCCGTTATCTCCGCGGTACAGTTGATCTCGGTCTATTCTACCACAAGGATGAAAAAGCCGCTTTAATCGGATATGCAGACGCTGGATATTTATCAGATCCTCAAAAGGCCAAATCACAAACCGGGTACGTATTTACTTATGGTAATACCGCAATCTCATGGAGATCTATGAAGCAGACATTGACAGCTACATCATCAAATCATTCGGAGTTAATTGCATTATATGAACCGAAAGAGAATGTGTGTGGTTGTGGTCTATGATTCAACACATCCAAAATGAATGCAGTATGAAACCTATTACTTGTCACCCGACTGTGATCAACGAAGACAACACTGCGTGCATAGCTCAGATTAAAGAAGGCTACATCAAAGGAGATAGAACGAAACACATATCACCAAAGTTCTTCTCTACTCATGATCTGGAGAAAGAAGGGACGATCAACATTCAACAAATCAGTTCCATTGAAAATCCGGCTAATCTCTTCACCAAATCTTTACCCCCGAAGAAGTTCATAGAACTTGTACAGAAAATCGGCATGCGTCGCATTCAAAATTTAGCCTAAGTTCAGGGGGGGTATTTGAATGCACTGCACTCTTTTTTGCTTCATCAGGTTTTTATCCCACTGGGTTTTTCCTGATAAGGTTTTTAACGAGACAGTACATCCAAATACAACGACATTATAAGTCGTAATCTCTACCCCTTAATTTTCACACACGTTATCACAATAAGTTTTTAAAATTACAAATACATATTCAAGGATGAACATTCAAGGGGGAGTGTTGTAAAACCACCAAATTGACAAGTGTGAATATTCATCCTTGTAATCAGGACACTAAGCAAACACAGTAATCACACACATGGCTAGATTCAATACTGCCAGCAAATTATGTAGAATCATTTCTAGATGATTCATCCCTAAGTTTGGCTAGTAAAAATAGGGCTTGTTTCATTCATTGTAAACTCACTAAAAACCTCAAAATTTTAGAAAAAACTTTATATTAAGAAGTAATTTAGAGCTTTTATTAATATATCTATCTCTTAAGTTTAGTCTTGATCTTCTTCAATTCACAACAGATCCATCATTTTTTATTTGCGGGTCCTTCAACACCACTTTTACTCAGGTTTCTTAATAATGACTCGTGTTGCTTTAATTGCATTGGTTTGAGTATAAGTATTTAGATTGTGTTTTTTTAGTTTTTTTCATTAATGTGTAGAGCACATTAGTCTGAGATTGTTGAGGTTTAGTCCCGAATTACCCAAAGGCCCAAAACCAACCTTGGATCTAGGATGTGATTTGCTACGGTAAAGTGTATGAAAGAAAATATAAAATCTGTTTCAACTACTCAAATAACTCAGCTTGTATTAACGTAGTAATAACAATTACATAGAAATGGCCGAACGGCTGTTTAGGTCCGAACGGCTGTTTAGGTCCGAACGGCTGTTCAGGTCCAAATGCTTCTATTTATACTAGATGGGGGTATGAGGTGCTCTAATATGATTGGTTGTCTCTCATGCTACTTGATGCCCTCATGATCCAGCATTAACTGCAGTCGGTTATTTGAGCAATTCTCGTTCGGGATTAAGCTCAGCTAAGCCATCAATGAGGAATAAGCTAATTACTCAAGTGCTAATTACATCTCGTTCTAGATGTGCCGAGCGGGGCTTGTCGTTCGGGTCTGATAATTTTTCCTGGACCTTCCCTTGCGTCTGGGCTTCAGGGATATTCTGGGCCGGTATATTGGGCTGGACCTTAATATCCCATCAGAGTTCATAAGTTGTTCTTGAGTGTATGGTAAGAGTTCTATCATAATAAGAATTGTGAACATCTTGATCTTGTGTCTCTTTAATACTTCTGTTAGTTCCGTATTTATTCCATATTTTATATATCTGAATCGGCCACCTGCCAAAGATACTGTGTTGGATCTTTGAACTGAAGGACTAAGTCTTAACACGGAGTAAAGCATACTACCTTCGTCCTATAAAACTAAAGTCATCCAATTTTCTTTTGATATTTTCCTTTAAACTAACTGTGTGTGACTAAAGTAATTTCTCTTTCCTCTATGCAAATTTCAACCACACAATTTTTGTTTTATTATTTTATGTGTAAATCAATTTGGACCAAGTTTTATGGAAGGGAAGAAGTATGATCTTCTATTTTTGAACGTTTTCTACTCCATGTATTATAGTTTTATTTATTTATGAATTAATGACTCGTATATTACCATAGAATTTTGTGATTCCAAAAATATCACCTTATTCCTATTTTTCCAAAAAAAAGTGACCTCTTAATTAATACTACGTAAAAGAGATTTGGAATATATAGCACCGCAGCTAAGCATCCTCTGTCGCATAATGATGGCAAATCTCCATCGCATCCCTTCAAGCCTCCATCGCACTCAGCGATGGACGGTGGCACATCTCCTTGCATCTCTTCCGGCGCCGGCGAGTGAGGTGAGCCCGACGACGTCGCTGCCGTGTATCTTCCTCTTCCCCTTTCTTCTTCTATCCAAAATCTCGAGCTAGGGTTAGGGCGGCGACCGGAAATCCGATGATGACATATGATAGTGACATAAAAATTCTCAGTGACATAAAAATTTCGCAATGACATCAAGTTTTTCCAAATATATTACCTCCGTAATCATTTTTTGTCATTTTATAAAAATGGTCACATTTTTGAAATTTAGCTTTAATTTTGATACGGAGTAATATTTAAGGAAAAGCCCTTTATTTATTTACTTGTAAGTTGTAAACAGGCCCTTATTGTACGTTAAAAAAAATACCCGTACAAGTGACAGGCGGAAACGTTTTTCGTGAAAAAATGCGGGGATCGATCACCGGCCCCACAGATTCCAAACCCTTCTTAAGACTCACTCACTCCGGCAGAGCTTAAAACCCTCTTCCAATGGCGGCCACCTTGCTTTCTCACCCCTCCTTTCGTAATTTTCTTAACTGTTCTACAGCTTCTTCTCCAAGGGAAACAGCAAAACCTAGCCTTTCTTTCCCCGCTTTTAAGATCCGCAGCCGTATCCTTTCTGCGCTAACTTCTTCCTCCGTCGCCATTGCTGACCCTGAACCCCTTTACGCCTCTGTCAAGTCTTTCGCTCCGGCCACCGTCGCAAACCTTGGCCCTGGATTCGACTTCCTCGGGTGCGCCGTCGATGGAATCGGCGATTTCGTCACCGTCCGCGTCGATCCCGATGTTCGCCCCGGAGAAGTCTCGATCTCTGAAATCACCGGTGCCGGGAATAAGCTTAGCAAGGACCCGCTCTGGAATTGCTCCGGCATCGCCGCCATCGCCGTGATGAAGATGCTTGGCATCCAATCCGTCGGGCTCTCTCTCTCTCTCGAGAAGGGGCTGCCATTGGGGAGTGGGCTGGGATCCAGCGCCGCCAGCGCCGCCGCCGCCGCCGTTGCTGTCAACGAGATTTTCGGAGGTCGACTTTCGGTTTCAGACCTTGTGTTCGCCGGGCTAGAGTCGGAATCGAAGGTCTCCGGTTACCACGCGGACAATGTGGCACCGTCAATTATGGGTGGGTTTGTGCTGATCCGGAGCTACGAACCGCTGGATCTGATCCGGTTGAAGTTTCCAGAAGATAAGAGCCTCTTCTTCGTGCTGGTGAACCCGGAGTTTGAAGCTCCGACGAAGAAGATGAGGGCGGCGCTGCCGCAGAATATAACAATGGCGGACCACATCTGGAACAGTAGCCAAGCCGGGGCTCTGGTAGCGTCGGTGTTGCAGGGAGACGTGGCGGGAATGGGGAAGGCGCTGTCGTCCGACAAGATAGTGGAGCCGAGGAGGGCGCCACTGATCCCGGGGATGGAGGCGGTGAAGAAGGCAGCCATTGAGGGAGGAGCATTCGGATGCACCATCAGCGGGGCGGGGCCCACTGCAGTAGCCATCACAGACGACGAGGAGAGAGGAAGGGTGATCGGTGAAAGGATGGTGGAGGCGTTTCTCCGGGAAGGGAATCTAAAGGCTTTGGCTATGGTAAAGAAGCTTGATAGAGTTGGTGCTAGACTTCTCAGCAGTAGTACCACATAGATACAGAGAGTATTCCTTTTTTTATTTTCTCAAAAACTTTCAACTAATTTGTGCTATTGGTAATTTCTCTCCTTTGTGCAAATTCGATTGCATTTTTTTTACTTTTTGTTTCTTATTTAAGTCAAAGGTAATAATGCCCAATAAATGAATATAAATGCTGTATTTATGAATAATAAACCCAAAATCATACCCTCATTATTCCAATACTACCATCAGTCTTCAGTCCCAACACCTGCAATCCCCGGTGCAGTTTAAGCAGAAGGAAGCAGTTCAACTTAAGTAGAAAGAAGCAGTTCAACTCTCCCAAAGTAAAAAAGGACAAAAGTGTTTTACAAAAAACAAATACAAAAACGGTCATTCTTAAGAGCATCTTTAATGCAAGGATGGTCTCTTACGCTCTCTCATGCATGGGTCCCATTTTTTATGTCACAATTTTTATGTGTAGGACCCACATATTTCCTAATTTATTTTTATTTTCATTTTTTATATCACTTTTAATTCACTTGTCGTCATCTTTTCCTCCTCAAATCCCATGTAAGGTCCATTTATGGACCTTGTCATAGATCTAGGTCTATTTTTTTAAAAAAAAAAGATACATCTCATTCCTGAGGACACCCAACACTGACGTAGGTCTATTTTTATCTCTATCTCTCTCCCCTCTTTCAATTTTCCATACACATCACTTCATTCAAATATTCATTCTATTTATCTCTCTCCTATGCCACGTCACTACAATTCACCCTCCCATTGAAGATGCTCTAAGTGCTTCAAAGGGTGGAGTTGTGACAATGTTGAACGAAAGAAACTTAAAAATTACCAAGTACGTAGTAATAAATATAAATTCTGTTCAAAAAATATATATAAATTATAGACCATAGTAAACACTCAACAGAGACCAAAATTGAGCCAAAACTAATTACAATTAGTTTTTCAAAAAATATGATCATATGTTTTGATTTCCCTAAAATAGGACTAATCATTCCATTTATATCACTAATTTAAATAATCAATTAACCTAATTAATTGTCCCCTTTAGTTCCCTTGCATAACCAAAGTCAGTATGGTGGTGGTGGCACCTCGACAGCGGTGGCGAACTCTGACGACGACAGCAGAGGGCAGCCATATTATGCCTAGGGAAAAAGTCAGGCGATCAGCACTGGCGACCAACAATCTAGCAGCAGCTCAACGAGCTTGGAGTAGCAATCTTCTAATCTATGAGCAAGTCCAATGAGCAAGTAAATGAGCATTTTAAATGAGCAAGTCCTTTTTTTTTTTTTGAAAAAATGCTATGTTTTGATCCTAATTAGGTAAATTTTCTTGAAAGGAAATAACAACATGAAGGTAGAAGTCTCAGCAACTTTAGCCAAAAACTATGTCGTGCACTAATTTTTTTCTCATTTTCAAGTAGCAACATATTCACGTGGTTCAAGAAAATAAGGTAGCTTTTGGTAAATTTCTAAGTTGGTAAGAATAAAAGTGACAATTATGCAGATAATTGCAAGGGTGTGGCTTTATTTCACCTGCAAGACTCTCAACTACTAAATGCAAGTCTGCAAGGCGCAATATTACATTTCACCTGATAAGAAGTTAACCAATTTTACATATCCTGCCTCCAAGACATCATCTGCAGTGGCAAATCTTTATTCGTCCCCCCTACTAAAAGAATGATAAATACTTCGTATATGTTTATTCTTTATAAATACTCTGGCACGACTATCCTGCCTGCCTGTAGCTTGAGAACAATGACATTCAATCAGCAGCAAAGAACGCCTCCGCTTTGTCTATAACATTTGAAGCAAATCTTGAGTTTAACATCAAAGCAGCAGCAGCAGAATTACTACTGCTACTACTATTACTACAATTCTTCATCATACTTTTCCCACCCTCTCGGTTGTCTTTCTGGTAGCGTCGCGTTTTGGCCGTCCTTCCCCCTTTCTGTGAAAAAATCTGTGCATTCCGCGTGGGGGTACTCCCATGGAGGCGAGGAGGAAACGTTTGAGGGAGACTAGTTCGGCAAGCTTTAAGCAAGGAGAGTATCATATCTGTACTTAGCTCTTGTTGAATGATACCCTTATTCTGCTCATTACTACCAAAGCAGGAGGCAACAAGTATACCAGCTAGAACAGGCATCAACTCAGGGTCACTGAAGAACACGAAGGGGAGGTCACACACCTTCAAATTCCATTTTGGTAAGTGTATTAGCTAGTTTCGTGCAATCTTGCAATTTCGGATTTATTATATATACAATTAAATTGGTAGACTGGCTGACCTTATGAAGTATGGTGGGGCTCTTTCCCCAACGAAGGACAGATTGGTTCTCTTGGTGGAACAATGAAAAATAGCCGAGTAGTGATAGTGATTCCATCAATAGCTGACCAATCTAATGGCATAAACAAAATTTGCAGCAGAAGCATTTATCTTTCATGCAAGGAGAAGTTTTTTCATGGTGTTTAATTTTACTGCTAAAAATCTCATAACAAGAAATTATGGTTATAAGTTATGCAAGCAACTGGACAAAGTCACAAAGAAATACATAGTTAAAGGCTACTTCTTTCCCACCAGCTGAAGTACTTGACAGATCATCAACAACCAACCCCTGGCATAAGAGGGACTATACATAACGGTTTCAACCAAAGGTAAATCCATCCATTAAATGTATACTACCTCTTTCCCAAATTAATTGCCTTGTTTAGTTTGGCACACTTATTAATAGTGGTTGAAAAGGTAAAATATGTGGTTGAGCTTATACTAGAAAAATGTGAAAAGATATGAACCGCATACTCTTTTTGAAATACATTGGAAAGCAATGAAGTGAATGAACCACATACTTCTGCCAAAAAAGGAAACAAGACAATTATTTTGGGGCAACTCACAAAGGAAAACTTTGGGACAGAGGGAGTAATAATTACAAATTGGATCTGATCCATCCACATAATGTAATTATGTGGATTATCAGTTATCCATTCATTATTTTTTCAACCAATCAGATAAGTTTTTATAGATCTTCTAAGTCCATCAAAACAGTTAAAATTTTCATTCTTTTGATGGATCATAAATAACAATATTATTGTCAGTTTATCCTTTTGTCACTCTTAACTTTACAATTCAACCTCACTAGGATGCTCTTAGTGATGTTCGAACCCATCACATGAAGCTTGGCAGAATGACTACTACAAGAAATTAAAATTAGAGCTATAAGCGTCGTATCACCTGATCAGTAGCTAGAGCCCACTTGTTAGTGCAATGAGAAAGCAGAAAACTAGTCAAGTGAAAGAACTCCATTTTCAAGTCTGGTCTTGCCTGGGTGTCCAGAATAAGCAAATTTCATAAATTAAAATGATAAAAAAAATGACGGGGGGAGGGGGTGACAGTAACAACTCACCAGCATCTTTTGTATAAAAGATATGTCTATCAGAGCCAAATTGTTCAGCACCTTCAGCACTCCTGTTGCCACTTCTTCAAAATTTGATGGAAGGATATAGGATGCCTGGGGGATACAAACTTCATAAATTTGAATATGAAAATAAGAAGAGGTACATATAAAGTTACAGAAATCATGAACAGTGTACTCTTCATTCCTGCCCAAACGGAAAAATTGCAAATAGTTGCATAAAAATCATCAAGATTTCATGAACAGTAAAGTAAAAAGGAGCAGCGGAATGCAGAACTATGAACGGGGATCTAAGTCACTTACCTGCTCAGAGAATCTATTGTTAGCTTGCAATAGCACTGCGGTCAACATGGATGGTAGACACACCAAGCCAGTCTCATGTATTGCAGATAGAAGGAAAGCTACAGCAGGTTGTTTCAAGCCCAAGTCATTTCCACTCTTTGATTCTCCTCCACTATCATTATTATTATTATTACTATTGTTGTTGCTATTATTATTACAAGGTTTCACATCGTTATCAGAAACAGAAGAAAAGCCCATATTACTTTGCATGTCGCTGCAGGACGCAATGGCAGTCTCTCTCACAGTATCTAAGGGTACAGAAGGTAATTTATCATCCTGCCCAGTACTGCTAGACTCTGCTTGTTCATCTTCTGCAATCTCAGGTAGTTTGACCTCTGTCTGGCTTGTTCTAGTAACAAATTCATCACAATCGATTAAACACAGATTTCTGAATCTGGAAGTAAGAACTGTGAGCAGGTTGATGCTCAAAAGTATTGAAGAAGGGAAAGGGAAGCCTTCCACATGAGGCCGGTCATAAAGTGCGAACAGATCCCGTAACCGGTGAATAACTTGGTATGATATCACTAACTCCGTTAGACCGTCCTGCAATCGAAGGTCACACTCACCAAAGCTAGGGTGACCAATTATTGAAGCCACTGTCCACAGGAAACCATCCAAGACATCAGAAATCAACTCCAAATTTTCAACTGAGGTTTTACTTGAGTTTGGATTGGTCGAACCAGGGATGTTTGATGATGCTGCAATTTTGATATAGTTTTCAAGAGATGCTGCCAGCATGGGGATGATCGGAGGAAGTAGGTTCTGGGCAAGGAAATAGCTCCTATTTGAAGGCACTGAAAGAATTACCTTCAGAAGTCTCAAAAGATACAATGTGACCTGGCATGCTTCGGGTTTTGATGTGTGGGAGGCAGGAAGGGCAGAAGCTATAAAATCAAGCAAACCAGCTTGGCGAGAAGCTTGCAACTCAGCATCCCTTCCATCTAAAAACTACTTAGAATAATAATCAGTATGAGAAATTGATTCTTTTAGTAGTGTTCAGCATTGCTTCTGCGTTATAAATAAATTAGAAAATCAACTTGGAATAAGCACATATAGTGTTACAAGTAACTTAGATATAAGTGTGTGTGTAACTTCTTATTTGAACAAAAAAATATATGATACATACATGTACAAGGTGTCATTATTTTATTTTGTGTTAGTAATATTTAAAACAAACATAAAACAATGTATCATCATCATCAACCCAGTGCCGCAAAGGCTCCCACCTACAGTGGGGTGGGGGGGGTCGGATGTATGCAGCCTTACCCCTGTACTAAAGCTGGGAGAGACTGTTTCCGGATGACCCATAGTGAAAATCGCGTCGAAAATTACATGGACTAACTGCTACTTCATAACAAAGAAACGCAGACATTTCAGTGAGCCATTTTGCTTTATTCCAAAGCCAAAAAATAGTGAGTCTTTGGCTCCATTGCAAATGATGGAAATTACATAAAACAATATGTGTGTATATAAAATTGTTTTTCTTAGGACAAGGATCAGTTTTTGGAACAAAATTACTAGGATAGGATTAGTTTTTGAGAAGCATCCATCCTCCTTTACTTCTCCAAAAGCGACTCTTGAAATCCTAGAAGTGATTCTCAAATGTCAACTGAACACCCCAAAAATTAATGACTGATTCTAAGTGGTCCTTATTCAAAAACAGCTCTCAGAAATCAGAACCATATCCAAACACAACAAAATTGAAGTTATAGAAAGTGACTATCAGTATAAGAAAAAATTATCTTCTTCTCGCCAGTCAAGAAAATAATAAAATACTTCATAATAGACAGCATAGGATAATAGAAGTACCTTGATAATTTCAGCTGCCATTAGTCCAAAAGAAGCTGCCCCAGCCTTTCTTGCCTGGCGAAGCTTCTGAAGTTCCTGAAGCCATTTCCCAATTTTTATCTTAGCAGTTGCCACGGCAGATCGATATGCAAAGCCATTGTTTTCACCTCCAATAGATGTCTCCATCAATTCATACTTCAAAGCCATAAGTCTTTGACGGATTCGTTTGATCCTTCGTTTGAGTGAGTGCTGTAGTGTTGCATTGCTAGAACCAAGAACGTTCCCTTCAGAAACAGAACAGCCATTTCCTATAGAATCTTCACTGCCACTGTTGGGGGGTGTACATCTTCCCTGCCCGTCCTTTCGGCGAAGTAAAGGTGATTGATCCCTGAAATCCATCGAAGCGCGTTCCCTTATTTGCTCCAAATAAAACTTACGGCGTTGTTCACTCTCTTTCAGGCGTTCGGCTAATTTTTGGGCCAAGAGCTCGGCTTCCTCCTGTTGCGCCTTGACCCGTACCTGCTTTCTCCTCATATGTTCCATAGCCCTTGCTTCACGTGCGGCAGTCGAAGCTCTCCGTTCTTCTTCCCTCCTAACTTGAGCCTCCTCCTTCTTCCTCTGTGCTTCCGCAATTCTGTGCAACTTTTCGGCCTCAATGAGTTTCTTGCGTTCGAAGACTGCCTCCTCCCTTGCTGTATCTTCTTTCTGTTTAGTTTTCAACACTTGAAGTTTCCCAGCTCTCCTCAATTCAAAATCCTGAAGCTTCTGACGCAAGATGAGTTTTTTGTTCTCTTCGTTCATTGAGGTAATGAACCGTACCTCGTTAACTTTAATGGTTTCATCACCGGCTCTTCTCGCAATCCCTGCCAAGTGAGCTTCATGTCTGGATTCACTACGCTGGTGGCGGGCATACATTACCTCACGTAGCCTTGTATTGCGTACGCTTTGCCATTCATTGACACGGTTCAGTTTCTCTGATGTCCGCTGAAGTTTTTGAACTCTCTCGTTCTCAAGCTCAGATCTGATCCTCATGGCTCGCGCATGTTTTTCTTCTGCTTCCTTTTTCAGATCAAGAGAGGATTTTTTCTTCTTGTCGGGAGACATGAGTTTATCATGCAAAACACGGGCCCGTTCAGCACTTTTTCTGCTCAAACCAGGCGAGTATGAATAACGCGAAGAAACTCTGTAGGATGGTGTGAGAATGTCTTCCCAGTTCCTCTTCTCTTTCCAAGCATCCATGGATTTCCATGACATCCCATTCTGTTTTTCCCTTTCAGAGACAGGAATTTGCTGCTTTTTCAAGTGATCCACTGTTTTTGAATTTTTGTCGATCATATAACTATCTTTCTTGTTTTTATTAGCCGTGACAAAACCAGAATCTTTATGAGGCAATCTATTAGATGCGTGAGGGTTCAGCCTGCTTGCATCAACATTTCGTTTCTCTTTATTACTTGAATTCCGATGAGATATATCAGATGCAGCATTCAGCTTCCCCTCCGCCTTTTTTACCGGTTCTTTACCATTGATGCTCATAATATCTCCACCACTCTCAGTGTACTTCCTCAAATGATCACTGGTTTCACAATCTGAGCCCAATTTTCCAGCATCACTTGCACAGGCCTTTGCTCTTTCTTGTTGAACTTTTCTGAATGCCTCAAGCGATGAAGCCAGTATCTCAGCCCTGTGTGGTGAAGTCGTCATTCTGCGGACCTGCAAAGGATTAGATTAAAAAGTTTAATGAAATAATAAATTAATAATGAATGTTATGGATTTATATGGCAAAGTTTCAGTACATTCCAATTAATTATTAAAGTGGCATCTAACACTCTAACAGTAAACACATTGTCATTATTGGTAAGAATGGTCTGAAATACGACAATACTCTATCACATAGACATGGGAACATGAAACTTCTTCGTTTTTAATTAAAAAGAAATACGGCACTACTCTATCAGACATAGACATGTCATTTCCGAATGTAATAGAACTACAGAAGAAATATAACATTAGGAATATACTTGGAAGATAGAAGAAAAGCCCTAAAAATGAATTAGCTTTCATCATTGAACACATAGCAAACATAAACCTGAAAGAGCCATGTCAAAGTTGGGGGATTCAAGTGCCTGTCAGCAGCAAATAGTACCCATTGCCAATTAGGATGAGGCAAAGATGCAAACAATTCCAGGGTTTTAGGGTCTGATAACCTGTTGAAATTCAGGGATAGAAAAATCTGGCAAGTGGCAAATCACTTCTGCCTTCCATTTATGCTGAAGCAAATATAAGAAAGAATATAGTACTAAGAATAATGCAATAACTGCATTTTGATTTTTGAGAGAGACTGTGCATGCTTATACAGGGATGTAACTATAGTCCTTTCATAATTGGTTGGGGCTACACTAGGGTTTCAACATTATATATATCAACAAACCCAAAAAAAACTTATAGTATTCCTCCATATTAGTACTTCTTGAAGACAATGTTTCTCTTTTCATTTTGAACATGCAGTACTTTTTTAAAGGCGAAAACCGTTATACATTTTAGTAAATGGCCATAGCAGAAGAAAATAAGAAGAAAATGGAAAGGAGCATAGACTCTTACCTCCCATGAGAGAGCATGTGGCCTACGATGGTCAGACTTCATCACTAATGGCGTTCCGTCAATTAAATGAGATGATGTCTTCTTAATGCTCTCAAATTCCTTCACTCTTGAGTTGAGCTCTTTGAAATCTGAAGCCGCTTCTTCAAGAACAAGAATAGCCTCTTTTGTTTGAGCCAAGTCACACTCTAACTCACAAAGTAGATAAAGCTCATCAACGGCCCTGTTAAGGTTCTCAAAGAGAAAGCACCAAAGCCGTTGCCTAAACCTCTCTTTACTTTCATCATTCCCATCTGCATCAACACCATCTATGGTCTGTGTTTGATGAAAATCATCAATAGTGATCGTATTGCCTTCTCTTCCGATATCCCCATTAGAAGTTTCCAAGAAAGATTCTTCGGGAACTGCTGATTCTGAGTTTTGTGAGGTTCCCACTGCTTTTGCATCTTCATCAATAGCAGAGAAGCCGAGATCATCTATAGATACAACAAAATTATGTTTGATTACCTTCTCACTTGTAATTTGATTTTTCACATCTTCAAAGAGTTCTTCATTTACCTCTCTATACTTTTCCTCTACAGTTTCATCATTCACTTGAGACGTGACATGAGACTCTGGATTTTCATCAACAGGCAACGGAGAAACATTAGCTTTCTCAATTATCCTGCCAACCAAGCTGTGATTGGGAATTTCCCCAAACATTATTTCAGACCTAACATCTTCTTTAAAATGGAATGCCAGAGCTGCATCATCCAAATCACCCCACTTTATTTTTGGCAGAACTTCCTGATTAGTATTCCTCTGCAAGTTTTCATCACTTGAGACAACTAACAGAGATGTATTAAGGCTTCTATTGGCTTGACTAACAACACATTTATCCAGATAATGTGTGGCTTTTTCTTCTTTATTTGCAACAGCACAAGAATTGCCCAAATCATTGGAAGCATACGAAAAAGAACCTCTCTCTGATTTTATAGGTTGGTTGGTGCTTTCATTCTTCTCACAATTTACATCTAACAAACAATTACGACGACCAAGAGAATCAGATACTCCAGGCGATCCCCCAGACCAACAATGTGTGGAAGACTTTGAGCCACTTCTATGCTTCTGCAAAGGCAGCAACCCACTTAAATATGCCAATAGGAAGTAAGCGAAGTTGCTGGAAAAACCAAACCTTTTCACGAATTTGCAATTTTATCCAAAGTTTGAGATTTTCAATTTCACCATGTTTTGGAAGATTGGGTGCGACTTTAACCAAATTAATACTTCAGTCAAAAGCAAACAAGCAGATCCCTGACATGGTGAACACATACATGCTGGCTAAGCAATCTTCTCCCATGTCACTTTAGATGTCTAGGTTGGGTTAACACCATAGTTAGTCCTTTTAATAATACCTAGCTAGTTTTCAAGCTTGTACGGTGCATGGACGATTAGTCATATGCAAAATCAAAGACAAATATCACAGTCTTGGGTATAATTCTAGTGGAATAAGTATATGAAAACTCATTTGGTATATAGCCCGTATATAATTTTCACATACATGGTAATATTACTTTTAAATGTACAATAGAATTAATGTGACCATAGGAAACCATTATTACAAAAAAGTAATAATAAATCCTATAAAAATGAATACAATAACCATAAAAGACTGATATTGATTGGATATTTAACTTCTAAATAAGTGCACAAATGAAAACTATTTATCTTCTAGAAAAAATATGGACTGAAAACGACTATACACCAAAAACATAAATCAAAATACTATTGTGACTTAAATAATGTTTTTAGTCATCCTATAAGTAATGAGATCATATTTATTAATATTTTTGTTTACTACATCAAGGCTATAAAAAAATAAACAAATCTTATGAAGCGTTGGTGCACTGGTTACAGTGTTGCCGTGTGACTGAGAAGGCTTGCCCTCTATACACCCTTGTGGTGGGACCCTTCCCTGAACCTTAGCCTTGTAGGGATGCCAATGTGCACCGGGCTGACCTTTTTTATGAAGTCTTATAACTTCTTTACAATTTATGGAACTCAAAACAAAACAGAAATAACTAAATATCTTTGAACGAATGGGGAAATAAAAATAGAAAACAAACCATTTATAACACTCCCTTCACACACAACTGAAAAGAGTGTCTCGAGAACTTTTTCCTAAAAATAGTTTTAAAAGTCAACTTTTTTAGAAGATGGAGTCTGAGTAATTGGTTTCAGCCTGTTACTCCAAACAATCTAGGAAACTAAAGTGACTTGGGACCGTTTGTCCTGTGAACGGTTAGCTCGTTCAATTTTGACAAATATTATATTGGTTAAACTGCACTCAATCTCACAAAATGTAGCTAAATTGACAACTTTGAGTTTTGTATAAAATTGCAAATTCATTAAAGCTTTGGATAATAATGTATAATAATTGTAGGACCAGTAAAGCTAAAAGAACATATATAAAGGGAAGAAATTAAAACATGCCCCTAAAACAGAAAGTAATCCTGATGGCCCTATTTGTAATTTTCACTACACGTGTTGCACCAAGAAGTTCAGTCATTTCTTCATTCAGAAAATACGTTACTATACAAAAGTTAATACTTAATTACTTATACCATACTTTGATTTGACATATTTCTTTTGCTACAAGAATAAAACATATACTATATGGTATTTATAATTTAATGAGGTGATATGAAAAAATTGGGACCATAGATTTACTACTGTATATATTTGAAGATATACTGATTATGTTTCCTTAGAAAAGTTGGTTTTTTCAACATAAAGTTTTGAAGATCAAAGTGACTAATAGGTAACTTGCTCCACATGTAGTTATTAGAAAGAGAGAGAGAGAGAGAGAGAGAGAGAGAAATTGAATGCTAACAGAAATATCAGATTGCATTAAACTGTATTAGAATACAAGTATTTATAGAGTTGGTTGTTCTAACAGACTTAACAAACCAACCGAGACACTATTAAACAGTATGAAGTATACTTATTCTAATACAGGACTTTTAGTCTATTACAAGATGTATATCTAACATTCCCCCCTCAAAACTAGGGTGATTGGTTTGGATACTCAATCACACTAAGTTTTGTTTTTAATTCAATAAATCTTGAGCTGGAAAGTGATTTGGTTAGAACATCAGCTATCTGGTGAAGAGAGGGAATGTGATAGACTGCAAGTTGTTTTAAAAGGACTTTCTCCCTGACAAAGAAGAGGTCAATCTCCATGTGTTTGATCCTGGAATGAAACACAGGGTTGTGAGCTAGCTGAACTGTACTTAAGTTGTCACAGTACACTCTGGGAATAGAAAATGGAACTTGGATCTCTTTTAAGAGAAACTGAATCCAAAGGAGTTCTGCTGCAGTGTCTTCTTCAAGACTCCTGTACTCTGCTTCTGTGGAAGATCTTGCAACACGAAGCTGCTTCCTTGACCACCATGAAACAACATTTGTTCCAAGAAGTATACATGAACCTGATGTTGATTTTCTGTCATTTGGATCAGATACCCAATCAGCATCACAATAAGCTGATATAGGAAGAGGCATTGTAGATAAAGGAATAGGTTTGATAACAATTCCATGATTAACGGTGCCAGAGACGTATCTGAGAATGTGTTTCACTGCCTGTCAGTGCTTCTGGCAGGGCTGAGCACGGATCTGAGAATTCCCGTTCCGTACCGAAGAACTGTCCCGAACCGTTCCAGAACCGATAGAACCGGAAAAATGTAATATTGTACCGTACCGTACCGAGCTTTTTTAATAATATGGTACGGTACCGGTTCTTAGTGAAAACCGTACCGGAACCGTCCCGGAACCGTACCGAACCGGACCGTCTCGTATTGTCCCGAATTGTCCCGAAAACTAGTGTTATAATATAATAATATGTATAATATATTATATACCGAGTATAATTGTCCGTATATTACTCTTACATCTTCTTTGGGCCCAATCCAATTATTAAAACAAAAACAATACTAATGGTCTAATGCCACTTAAATAGAACAAAAACTCTTAAACCTTTTGACGATCACTTTTGCATTTTAGTTTGGATGTTACTTTTCTTTAATATAGTTTGACTATTAGTTTCATATTTCAATTTGATCACACAATATCAGTTTAATATAATCTTGCAAGTTTTTCTCTTCAATTTTTGTAGAGTTATTTATAAATGTTAAAATCTAAAGTTTTTATATTTCATGGGGGTTATTTAGTTATTTAAGAACCGTACCGAACCGTACCGGACCGTACCAAAAATTGGTACGGAACGGGATAAGTTCTACATATACGCGGGACGGTACCGGTTCTTGATTTTTAAAAGAACCGTACTTTGGGACGGGACAGGTTTTTCAAAATAACCGTCATGTACCGTCCCATGCTCACCCCTAGCTCCTGCAGTGGTTCAGCCATAAATTGACAAACTTTGTTGACAGCATAGCAAATATCAGGTTTGGTCAAGGTTGCATACTGTAACACTCCAACAATAGATCTATAATGGGAAGGATTAGGAAGATAGTCATTGCCTTGCTTCAGAAGTTTGCAGGTGCTCACCATAGGGGTTTTGACCCCTTTAGAATCTAACATTCCAGCTTGATGTAAGATGTCCATGATGTATTTAGCTTGAGAGAGATGAAGACTGCCATCGGGAAGTTTGCGTGCCTCTATGCCAAGAAAGAAATCAAGATCTCCTAGATGTTTGAGTGAAAAAGAAGAGTGAAGTTTGTGAATCAGTTGTTTGATGGCAGTTGGATTGTTTCCAATGACTAAGATATCATCAACATAGATAAGGATGTAGATTTGAACTCCAGAAGATAGAAAAATGAGCAAAGAGGGATCAGATTTGCTTTGTTTGAAGCCACCATGGTAGAGAACTGAAGTAAGTTTGTGAAACCAAGCTCGAGGAGCCTGTTTAAGGCCATATAATGACTTATGAAGTTTACAGACTAGAGATGTGTCCTCATCTTGGAACCCTGGGGGCTGAACCATGTAAACTTCCTCATCTAATTCACCATTTAAGAATGCATTGTTTACATCAAGTTGTTGTATGGACCACTTGTGAGAAATAGCAAGGGTTAGAAGAATTCTGATAGTAACAGGCTTCACCACAGGAGAAAATGTTTCCCCAAAATCAAAACCATACCTCTGATGAAAACCTTTAGCTACTAATCTAGCTTTGTATTTGTTGAGAGAACCATCAGGGTTTTCTTTGACCCTGTAAACCCACTTGCAACCAATAGCCTGCTTATCTGGAGGAAGAGAAACAAGAGACCAAGTTCTGTTAGCAATCAAGGCATTGTATTCACATTGCATGGCTTCTAGCCAATGAGGAGAAGAGAGAGCCTGTTTAACAGATTTAGGCTCAGTATGAGTTAACAATAAGGTAGTAAGGTAGGATGAAGTCTGGGTTTTACTATTCCTGACTTAGCCCTTATCCTCATAGGATGTGTGTTAGTCAAAGGAACTGAAGAAACTGGAGTAATAGGAGGAGAGGATTGGTGATTAGAATCAGGAGGAGGTTCAAGATTTTGTAAAGTGGGAGATGAGGAAGCAGATGATTTATGAGAATCAGATGAACTATGATTATTAGAAGATGATGATTGATTGTCATTAGAATCATTTGGAAATGAATTTGGAGAAGAAACTGACTGAGTGTCAGAAAGGTTTTTGGAAGTAGATGGAAAAGAATGAATACTTATAGGGACAGAAATAGGATTTGGATTGATAGGTAAAGTAGAAGTAGAAGGATTAGAAGAGAACAAAGTAGGATAAGGAAACTTTGACTCTTGAAAGACAACATCCCTAGAGATGTAGATCTTACCAAAAGAGGACAAACATTTATAGCCTTTGTGACTAGGTGAGTAACCTAGAAAAATACACTCCTCAGAATGGAAATCAAGTTTATGTTTATGATATGGTCTGGTAAAAGGAAAGCAAGCAGTCAAGCACATACAAACACTTTGAGGAAAGAGTAATCTGGAATAGAACTATACACTTTGAAATATGGACTTGAATTAGAGATGGATTTTAAAGAAAGTCTATTTATGAGATGAACAGAGGTAGCAAAGGTTGCATCCCAAAATTTAAGAGGTAAAGAAGAGTGAGATAAAAGGGAAAGTTCTTTTTCAACAATGGTGCGATGTTTCCTTTCAACTACACCATTTTGATGGTATGTATGTGGACAAATGACTCTGTGAATAATGTCTTTGTCTGTGAGTAATTTAGTGAAGGATCTAAACTCACCACCCCAATCAGATTGGAGGGATTTGATAGAGGCAGAAAATTGATTAAGAACATATTGAGAGAAGTTAGTAAATGTTGTAAGAGCATCTGATTTTCTTTTAAGGAAATAGATCCATGTATATTTGGTACATGCATCTATGAAAGCTATATAATAGGAATACCCATCGAAAGAACAAATGGGAGCTGGTCCCCAAAGATTAGTGAAGATTAACTCAAAAGGTTTATGATATTCAGTGGTGGAAGTATGAGAAGGTAACCTGTGAGCTTTACCCATGCAACAGGCAGAATAGAAATCAAGTGCATTTTTATTGATATAAGAGACATTACAATGTTGAAGTACAAGTTTGAGGGTCTCAAAATGAGGGTGGCCAAGCCTTAAGTGCCAAAGATTACAAGACTGAGAAGGACTACAAGATTTATCATTATTACAAGTAGACATTAAGACACTAAACTGATTATTGTGTGCAGATGACAAAGTGGATAAACTGGAACTTGCAGAAGGCTGATGCAGACCAAGAGCAGGAAAGGACTTGAACCTACAAAGACCATCCTCTCCCAAAGTGCCATGTAAGAGAACTTTATTAGAAACATGTGATTTCACAAAACAATCATAAGGATAGAATTCAAAATAGACATTGTTGTCTTTAGCAAATTGACTAACACTAATGAGATTTTTAGTAATGGAAGGAACATGAAGGATATTTTTGAGGGAGGGAGAAAAAAAGGACTGATAAGGGGATGGAAAGGAAGTAAAACCAACAGACTTTATGTCCAAACCTTGACCATTCCCCATAAAGAGTTTATCAGTGGTGGTGGCAGGCTCACTGTGCTGAAGGTTAAGTGGATCTGCAGTGACATGGTGAGTGGCTCTAGAGTCAGGGAACCATGTTTGAGACTGTGGACGAGGTCCTAAAATGGATGTATTTGCACTGGCCCAAGCAGCAGTAGGATGATGTTGTCCAGATGTGGATGAAGGATTATAAGAGTGCTGAGATGGCTGATCCCAGTTAAACTGTGATGGAGCAGGAGAGAATGAATGATTGGAATGAGATCTTTGTAAAAAGGGATGATTAAACTGTGAGGGAGCTGAATATGGATGAGCTGAATAAGATGGTCTTGGTGAAGAATTTGTTGCAGCATAAGAAGGATTGTATCGATGATAGCAAATGAGTGCATGATGACCTGATTTTCCACAAACTTGACATATGATAGAGTTTCTTCCTCCAGATCTACCACCTCTTCCTCTTGAAAAACCTCCACGACCTCTGCCTCTGTAAGAATTATCACTATTACCAGTGTTGCTGAACTGAGCAACTTGAATCGAAGCATTGTCAGTTAGGTTTTCATCAATTGAACGAGTGTTTGGAGCTGAAATATCCAAACGAGCGACATTTGCTAACAGAAGATTCGACTGAGAAGATTCACGAAGTTTTTGTAGTCGCATCTCTTTGGCAGACAAAAGAGACTCAACTTCAGACAAGGTTGGAGGATCGAGAATACTTCGAGAAGATATGGATGAGGCCAGAGACTCATATTCTTCAGGTAATCCTTCGAGAATCACATTAATGTGATCCTTAGGGGATATCGACTCTCCGATTGACAGAAGATTGTCAGCAATTGTCTGAATGAGAAGAAGATATTCAGCAATAGAACGCTCACCTTTCGCAGTGTTGTACAGTTCGGATTTCAATTGTCTGGCTTTTGCGAGGATGCTTGATTGGAAGAAAGTGTTGATCGCACTCCATAACTCGTATGAATGTTTGCAATGAATAACGCGAGCATGGAGCGCTTCAGATAGCGACGCTAGGAGCCACGAGAACAACATTTGATCTTGTTGCTCCCAGGCAACGTAAGCTTCGTTCATTGTTCCTGTTGCTTCATCTTCATCGGAGATAAATTGCTTTGGAATTTCTGGTTTGACAATGAACCGAAGAAGTTTGTGTGCTCGAACGACGGATTCTACATGGTGTTTCCAGAAGATGAAGTTGTTACTGTCAAACTTGAGTGGAAGAGGATGTGTGAATGTTACTAGAGACGCAAAGTTTGTGGAAGTTGCGGTAGCAGAGGAAGAGTTCGACTCGATTCGGCATCGGTGATCGCCATTGATGGATCGAGCTAGAGCTCTGATACCATATTAGAAAGAGAGAGAGACAAGAATTGAATGCTAACAGAAATATCAGATTGCATTAAACCGTATTAGAATACAAGTATTTATAGAGTTGGTTGTTCTAACAGACTTAACAAACCAACCGAGACACTACTAAACAGTATGAAGTATACTTATTCTAATACAGGACTTTTAGTCTATAACAAGATGTATATCTAACAGTAGTACATGTTAAATTTTAATTCATTGACAGTAGATGGTTTATGCTTCATGCAGAGAATGGTTGGTGTATGAATATTCTAAAAGGAATATAAATACTCACTGCTAATATCAGACCAAATTTTATCAATCCATATATAACTGCTTTTCCATTTTTACAAAAACAAATAAAAATAATAAAAATAAGCACCAAATGCACTTTTTTAAAGTTTTCTAGTCATTTCTTTGAATCTAACATGCCAATGCCATTTTGTAGACATTTTCACTGTCATCTAAACTTTCAAACAAGTAATTCAACCGTTTCAATTCAAATGAACACTGATAGATTAGACAAGCCATAATAATAATAATAATAATAAAAAGAAATTGGTGCCTAAAATCACACCTTTTTCACTTGCATCCAACCCGAGCATTGATCATCGCCCACTACATTGCTGCTTTCCATGAAATTCCAATCAAGCAGGTCTTCCCTCACCCACCCGGGGGTGACCAGCAAGAATCACTAATTTGCAAATGTGCCACTGGATTTTCGCAGCACCAGTCACAAAAAATCACCGTTCTCTCCACAGGAGATAAAGCTCATAAAACTAGTAGGAAAATAACTATGAGGATCATAACATCAAGAAAAGTAGAATATTTTGAAAAGATTATCTAAGTAATGGATTTTCTTCAGGACAATGGAAACATTGATAACTCTGCCACACGGGATTCACATTGTCGGAGTTGTTATTAACTTTGGGATCATCGCAGCGTGTTTGGAACAAGAAATAATGGAAATGGGGGAAATCAGATAAATTTTAATTAATAGAAATAGAGGTGATCTTCGATTATTGAGAGCTTGTTGTTTGAATTCGGATTCTTGCTTGACTATTTCTAGGGTTTAGGGGGGCGTATGGAGCTCCAGTGGAGTAGTCTGAAACCTGAGAGGGGGGATATGTTGACAATAGTGAAAGTGGTTGCTTAATCATGGGGTGCTGTGCTTATCAGGAAGAAATGTTGTGTTTTAGGTGGAAGTACAGAGTCTATATTACTCCTCCCCCGTCATTAAGTTCCGGAATTCCTTTTTTTTTATCAGGTGGGAGTAGCTGAACCGGTAGGAAGGGAGAGTCACGTGAGTTAGGTCCCGGGTTCGAATCCCGTCAACTGTAATGAAGGGTTACTATCCTAAAAAATGCATAAGGCTTTTGCAAGTACGGGGGACAGAGTCCCACTCTCTGATCGGGGTTGAGAGCCTCAAGGATGGGGTGTCATTCGGAATTCCTTTTTTTTATGTGGCACGGTAAATTTCTTACTTTTGTTTTCCACTCGTAATATATAATGGTACGTTTGTTTTTCCATGTTATACTTTTAAGTAGGGCCCGTAGGGATGGGGGATAATATCCCAAAAAAAATCAGTTTTTAGGTTTTCTTGTTCATCCCTAGTTCAACAGATGTTAAAAATGCTGGAAGGCATTTATTTAGAAAATGTGACAAACCTTCTCAAAACACGTTTACCCAAAAATAATGGTTCAAAAAATATATTCATGTTTTTATATCACGCGGGACCCTACCCGAAACTTGATCCCAACATATGGCGGCATCGCACGCTTGAAGTATAATTCCATATGTTTACTGTATAGGGGGTCCTCCCTCCTTATAAAATTTAACCGGATATCTATATATTGCTTATGAAAAGCCTACAACTTTACTTAAAGTTTTTGGTGTGAGAAATTCTCTGCACAAACCTTGTTTCGGAGGAACTTCACACACAAATTCTCATTCACTTCAAAATGATTTTACCGAAATAATAAATGGAAATGTTCACCTCAAAGAGTACAATATGTTATGTCTTGATTCCACTAAAATGAAACGTTGGTCCCTTGCATATGTTAGCTCCAAAGTGACTAAACTATTAATTTGTACAACCATTTCCCAACAACCCCCCACATGAATGAGAAATTGACTTAAAACATAAACATACAGGTTTTGGATTAGAGGAAGTTAGGAACTCTGCATAAGCAAATAGTCCTGAAACCTTGAACCTACCTCAATGTATACCCGTCAGATTTACTGGCCAATGAGTAACACAGAGAGCCCTGGCTAAGTGCATATTTGGTTATCACATTTGTGTTCGTTTCGACCTTGAACACCTACTATTTCAGGTAGTGCTTTAGAGAGTTTATGTCGTACCGTAGAGTCTCATAGAAGCATCCACTTCCATAAGCATTAGTTATCTGTACCGAAGATATCATATCATACTTGTTGAGTTTAATCCAACACAATATAATAAATATAGATATAATTGTGTGTGAACAAGCCATTTTTACGTGGAAACCCGAAATGGAGAAAACCACAAGACTTTTTAGTCTAATGTCCAAGCTCTCTCATTCTCATTAGACTATCCTCACCATTTACATAGTACAAGTATTAAGCTTCCATTAATGGAGGTTGCTAGCTAAACTATTCTAGAGAGGAGGAGGAAGTGGGGAAGAAGACCAACCCTTAACATGGAGAGAAAGCCTCCTATTTATAGGAAATGGGGGTGGGGGATAAGCCTACCCTAATGGGCCAAGTGGGCCAAAATGGGCACAAAGGGCCGAACCATGCTTGATAGGCTGAAAAGAGCCTCGTCATTTGGGCTCCGTACTAGGGCGATGTCTTAGGCTCCTGAACAGTAACAGACCGGGATAATATATCCCAACAATACCTTACTTTAACGGATCAAGATATAGAGATCATTAAAAACACAACTTACCTTAAGTGCTCTTGGCATGAGTGTACTATATCTTGGTTAGCACAGCTTGAGCCATGTCCACAATTTTGTTTTCCATTTGAACCTAACTATGATGCACTCTTAATAATATAGGTAGGGTTTCCCCAATGAACTTATTGGATCATTGGTTGTAGGTCTATCACCCTCCTTGATGTCTTGACCAATACTCTCGATAATATTTTGGTTAACGGATCCACAATATTTTTCTTGGACTTCACAGAGTCAAGAGAGATGGTCCCATTTTTATTTGTTTTCTAGAAGTATTGTGTCTAAGACGAATGTGTCTAGACTTACTGTTATAAACCACATTCCTTGCCCTTCCAATTGCAGCTTGGCTATGACGCCCAATAGATAGCGGAGGGACATGCTTTTTCCCAAAAACTCTCATAAAAGTTGGCCATCAACGATGAAAGCCGCACAACCCAACTACCGGTTTAATAATGCAAACAAGAGAAGCTCGACTTTCATCAACGCTGCAAGTCTTCTACCCTTCAATTTTCAAGGAAGCCACCCAACATGTAAAGAAACTAGCTGACGTCCATTGAATTAATTCTTCACAAGTCAATGTTGCCCTGGCTTTGGACCCCTAAGACTTTTTATCCGAGAACTTTAAACTCAAAATTCAGCAACTTCAAACCAACAACGTTCTACACAATTACTTCATGACAACAACAAAAACCATCTACGAGCTATGCCTTATTTTCCGGAAATGACTGCTGAAAATCCCAAATATAATGATGTCCACTCATATCTAGAAAATATTCATCATTATAGCATCCACCATTTGTTATCCTATAATTTAATCCAAAGGAAACTCCTTCAACTTGAGGAAGTTCGTTTAGAGCAATAAAGCATTGTTATCATTCTAGTTTGGAGGTGTGGGAATATTTTTCTGATGTATTTGGTCCAATTTGTGTATTTCAATCTCTTTATCTTAATTATGAATTTTAGTGGCTAATTTCTTAAGTCAAAGATAGAGTTGAAACTTTATACACTCTAAGTGTTTGGTGTATGATTTGAACCAATTTATTGTGAGTATGATTACGGTGTACAACATAGGGTTATATCGTTGGATTTTGTGAGCAACTCACGTTGAGTTTCAAACTACGAACTTAAAGGATAGACACATTTATATTGTAGATATAAATATACCTCATTAGATATGGTGACGAGATTTACACGTAAAGATAATCACGCTCTCACTAATGTAACAAGAGTTTATAGTACTTTAGTGACATTACACTCATAAGAGTTGACAAAAGACTATATATTCAATGCTAACTCTTATTTAATAGTAAACTCAAACCCTTGATTGTTTTAAATCAATTTCTAAAACAAAAAATTCCGACTTTATCTCGGTCCTTTCTCATATCTTTCAAACACTGAATCCTACTAATCAACATTTTATTGTGTTCAACGTCAATCCGATTACTTGTGCACTTACAAATTCCTTGTATTGGGTTAGTTTTCTCGTGACAGTTATTTCAACAAGATATTTTCTTCATGTTGGGAAAAAACTCCGGAATTTCCCGCTTCGTGAAGTTAAGATAGGCACTCAGGAATTAAGGTAGTAATGGGAGCACACGATTTAAATTCTCCAATATGGAGATTCTTCCACTATACAAAAGAATAGTAGGATTTACAAGAATGTTACAAAATTGTCTCACTCAATGGTGGCTCACTAAAGCTTGAGGATATGACCTTCCCAAACTAACTCTCTTCTCTCTCAAAGAGGCTCTCTAACTCTCTAGCTTTCTCACTCTAGGAAGTGGATTCTCTCTTGCTAGGATTGCTAGGATTAGGATTGGGATAGTTAGGAATGGAGGTTCCTACTCCTATTTATACTACTCCACCTCCATAATGAGTGGTGGAGAATATTTCTCTAGAATGATCTACATGACTACCTATTCTAGAGAATTCCAAGGAATCTCTACACCTCTCCATTCTCTTCCATATGCTTCCATACTCTTCCATAAGCTCCCGGAAGGTTCCACACATCTCTAGAATATTCCAGAGGATTCCACATTATTCCGCAAGCTTCTAGAGAGTTCTAGACTTCTCTAGGATTCTCCGCAACGTTCTAGAAAATTCTATACTTCTATAGAAAGCTCTAGAATTTTCTAGAACCTCTCCAATTAAGTAGGGATCCCAACAAATCTCCCCCTCCCAACTTAATTGGGGGGTTGTAGCAAACCTGCACCTTGACAACAATCTTCGAACTTCTTTGTCGGTATAACCTTGGTCATCATGTCTGACCAGTTCTCGTCTGTGTGAACCTTGTCAAGATGCAATTTCTTTTCTTCGAGGACTTCTCGGATCCAATGATACCTTGTATCAATGTGCTTCGTGCGGGGATGAAATGTTGAGTTCTTCGCCAAGTAAATTGCACTTTGATTGTCGCACTTCAACACGTACCTTTCTTGATCTATTCCCAGCTCGAGCAACACATTCTTCATCCACAGCATCTCCTTGCAAGCTTCAGTAGCTGCGATGTACTCTGCCTCTGTGGTGGATAATGCAACACACTTTTGCAGCTTTGATTGCCAGGAAACAGCCCCCCCTGCAAAAGTAGTTAGGTATCCCGATGTTGATTTTCTTGAATCAATATCACCGGCCAAGTCTGCATCTGTGTATCCTTCTAACACAGGTTTTCCTTTTCCAAATCATAAACATCTTTTGGAAGTTCCACATAAATACCAGAGGATCCATTTGACCGTTACCCAATGTTCACTCCCAGGGTTGGCCAAGAAACGACTAATGACTCCAACTACATAGGCGATATCTGGTCTTGTGCATATCATTGCATACATGAGACTGTCTACTACAGATGAGTATGAAATCTTCTTCATTTCCTCCTTTTCTTTCTCACTTGTGGGACTTTTCTTCGAACTCAACCTGAAGTGTCCAGCAAGTGGTGTGTTTACCGGCTTTGATTTGTTCATGTTGAACCGTTCCAACACTTTCTCAATGTACCTCTCTTGGGATAGCCACAACAGTCTCTTCGATCTATCACGAGTTATTCTCATCCCAAGGATTTGTTTAGCCGGTCCCAAATCTTTCATGGCGAAGCTCTTGCTTAGACCTTTCTTCAAAGCATCTATCTTTACGCGATCTTGTCCAACAATCAACATATCATCAACATAGAGTAGAAGTATGAGAAAGTCGCCACTTGCATACCTCTTTATGAAGACACAATGATCGCTCTTTGTCTTTGTAAAATCATGCTCTGCCATGAAGGACTCAAACTTCTTGTACCACTGTCTCGGTGCTTGTTTGAGGCCATATAGACTCTTCATGAGGCG